TGCAGGCATGAGTTAATCCTGCAGTGGTAGCAGCCGCGGTTTAAGCTACAATGCAGGGGTTAATATGCGAAGACAGCTGAAGCCCCTGGCGACCGTGTTAATTTTCTGACGCGCATTTAGAATTGCAATCGCGCGGCACTGGGTCTACCTCAGACCTGCATCCAGACTCTGAAATGAGCAGGAAAACAGTTGTTAAATTGTCTTAATGAAATGAAATAAAAATTAGCCGAGAGACTAATGAATATTATTAAACACATACTCGGTGCAAAAAATAACCTACTATATACGACGAAAACACACTGTATTAAGATTTCAAAACATACTTGAAATAACGCAGTAAATGGTGATACAGTGACTTGGCGAAAATAGCGATGTACTTTATTTTCATGGTTCGGTTACTGCGGCTGATATCACAGAATATAGAATGTATAGTGGTGTGTGTGCGTGTGCGTGCGTGTGTGTGTGCGTGTGTGTGTGCTCGTGTGGGTGTGCGTGCGTGCGTGGGTGTGGGTGTGCGCGCGTGTGTGTGTGTGTGCGTGTGTGTGTGCGTGCGTGCGTGTGCGTGCGTGCGTGCGTGCGTGCGTGCGTGCGTGTTCCTCCGTCATCCAAGTGGTTCCGCCGGTGTATTAGACTATATGAAGTACACATTCGCTGTAGCCGCAGACAAATAACAAACGCAACAAATTCGCCAAGAGAATATATGTCAGTGAGTTGTCAGCGAATTGCGGCGCATTAGACGACTGTCTCACCCCCTCACCCCTCACCCCTCCCCCCTCCCCCAGATAAAACACGAGCACGCGCTTCAGTTTACAATTATTGGCAGATAAAACTTCTAAAACTTTCCCACAGTCGACTAAGTATTAAAAGGGGGAATTAAAAGATCATACATTTCTGCCAAGTCCAGAGCGTAGTAGAAGCATATGATCTATGGGCTAAAGATAGGCTAACACCGTGTTTAATCAATGTGAAGAGATTTCATAGCAGAAACTTTTAAAAATCCCAATTTATACGTTTTAAGATGCTCAGAGCAATATTCTTCCCTCATGTTTCACGAACAATTGGATTCTCAAAGGAGTATTCACTCCGTTAAAGCGTTAAGCAATGTTTTGCTTTCCCTATGTAAACTATGCTGTTACGGGAATGACACTATTCTGTAAGCCGCATCTACATCATCTTCTATTTGTCCAGTCAATGAGTTTCACATAATCAAATATATAATATTACTTGAAATCAGGATATGTGATTCTACAATTAATCATATTTTCTACAGTAATATTTTATTTAGCGAGATTTGTTTTAGACGCGTCATGTTAGAAGATGGTAATTGTTGTTACCCTGCCTGGCGCTCGGCATTAAAGGGCTAACACAAGGACTGGTTGACTCGGAGTGGGGTACTCATGTTAACTGCGGCATGGTATCTCAGTGGACAAGCCCTATAAAAAGGGCATTTGTCTGGACTTGTACAAGCAGCCACACATACACACACGTGCATGCAGGTCACTATATAAGTGCAATAATCTTGGACGCGTCGTTAAACCCCATTTCACCTCACCTCATCGAACCGCGCTACACTTGTCAGGTAAGACCAGAATTACGTTAACGCCGCATCCGACAATCCTCGTCATCAGTCCTGAGAGTCAACCGATGTCGCTTTTAAACAGCCATCCAGTAGGGCAATCACGGACCACTCCACCTGTGCTTCCACCCTGAATTCCTCCAGGGCCCCGTAACATGTTGGGAATAGTATATACTCTCACAGGACCGTCTCCCGATAACCGCCTCCGTAGTGTAAAGGTCGATCCCAACCGCGTCATACCAAAAGACGTTAAAGATGGTACTTGTTGTTACCCTGTCTGACGCTCGGCTTTAAGGGACTAAAACAAGAACTGGTCGTATCGGAGTCAGTATACTGTGTCTGAGTGGGGTATTCATGTTAAACTGCGGCATGGTATCTCAGTGGGGTAGCACTACAAAACCGGCGTTAGTCCGAACTAGTACAAACAGCCACTCACTGACAACCCATTTCACCTCACCTCACCTCACCTTACCTCACATCACCCCACCTTACCTTATTTGTCAGTGATATATGGTGAAAAAGGTCAGAGGTCATTACCATGAAATCCGTGCAGAGCACGCCCTGCCACGTCCGCATGTCCCAGCACTGGTTCCGTAATGGAGAAATCAAGACGCTCTGTTAATTCCTTCCGGAAACAACAAATTTGAGTGATTTCTCCGACTTAAACCATGTTGTGGTTGAAACATAAATTCTCTATAATTTTGCTTAATAACCTATAGTTGCGTCAGTTTTACTAGTTCAGAATGACAAGTGTATTTCTGACTCAGAATCAACCGCAACAACAATAGCGTCATGTCATTATAGTGAGTGAGTGAGTGAGTGAGGTTTTACGCCGCTTTTAGCAATATTCCAGCAATATCACGGCGGGGGACACCAGAAATGGGCTTCACACATTGTACCCATGTCGGGAATCGAACCCGGGTCTTCGGCGTGACGAGCTAACGCTTTAACCAGTAGGCTATCCGACCGCCCCTCATGTCATTATAATGCTTTAACTACTATTCATTGTGGATTTCGGAGGTTGTTTTTAGTTATATTAAACACACGTTTATCAGTGTAAACTTAAAGGGAACATGTGCACCTACTCCATGTCTCTACTATAAAACAGAAACCTCTCAAAAGTTCCAAAACAAATGTTTGCCTAAGTGGTACTTTTTTTACCCCACGTTTCTTTTAAGCCTTCTAATACGGGGCCTAACGTTTATGTCCCGTGTTAAGTGTGAGTTTACCAACATCATTATGGACGTCGTGTTAATGCATGGATTTGTGTATCTACTGCCCGCCATACAGCATACTCGCATGGACAAATTAAACCACTATTTATTCGTCAACTAAGAACAGAAGATGGATTAGGCCACACAAAAAAAGAAATAGAAATGCTTCTCATAGTCGTACGTGTCATTTGAGACATAGCGTGTCAATGATGGGTTTTTTTCCGGTTCCGAATTCAGCCATTCCTAATTTTCTGTTTTTCAGATTTTAGTCTTCAGTAAGAGTTATCTTTCCTTGTTGCAATTAAATATTCATTGATATTTTTTGTCTCTCGTTGTCTTATTTCATTCGTTGTTTGAAAACAAATTTTCAACAAATGTAAACAAATAATTTTGATTGAGAAACTTTATTTGGGGGTGGTCTTTAGATTCCCCATATTTCAAATGAAAATTTTGAGATATGAAACATAAAAACCTGTATACCTGTTTGGATTCTGTGTATTCTGCAGTGGAACGAACTGGTTTCCCCACCCCCCCCGGGAACGTATTGGGGGTGAAATGAAATAGGGTTAGACTGTGCCGGGGAGAGTTATCATGGCCGTTATCTCGCAGGCGAAAACTATACAGACACGATACAGCTTGTTTTTGACGATCGTTGCGGTGAAACGGGCACTGCATAGATTAGGTATACCAGTGTAAGTGGTAAAACATACCCCGCGTTAGTTTAGATATATGTATGATAGATTCAACTACAGATACACGTGGTTTTAGTAACCCGAGTACATTATCGCGACCATGCACAAAGTACATGTGGTATGAATTTAACTGCGGGTACAATAATGTAACATGCCATTAACAAAAGTGTCGGTTGCTGAGCTGGGGTGGATAAGATGTGGAGGGGTCGGGTCAGACGTGGGGTGAATGAGATTTGGAGGGCTGGGGTGGATAAGATGTGGAGGGGTCGGGTCAGACGTGGGGTGGATGAGATTTTGAGGGGTGGGGTGGATAAGGTGTGGAGGGGTAGGGTCAGACGTGGGGTAGATGAAATTTGGAGGGGTGGGGTGGATGAGGGGTGGGTTGGATACGACATGGAGGGTGGGGTCAGACGTGGGGTGGGTGGGATTTGGAGTGGTGTGGTGGATAAGGTGTGGAGGGGTGGGGTGGATGAGATTTGGAGGGGTGGAGTCAGATGTGGGGTGGATGTGTCGAGGGGTGGGGTCAGATGAGGGGTTGATGGGATTTGGAGAGGTGTGGCGGATAAGGTGTGATGGGGTGGTGTCAGACGTGGGGTGGATGAGATTTGGATGGATGGGGTCAGATGAGGGGTGGATGAGGTGTGGAGGGGTGTATAAGATGGGGAGGGGTGGTGTCAGACGTGGGGTGGATGAGTTTTGGAGGGGTGGGGTCAGATGTTGGGTGGATGTGTGGAGGGGTGGGGTGGATTAGATGTGGAGGGTGGGGCCTGAAGCGGGGTGGATGAGGTGTGGAGGAGTACGGACAGACGTAGTGTGGATGAGGTGTGGAGGGATGGCGTCAGACGTGGGGTGGGTGAGATGTGGAGGGTGATGTCAGACGTGGGGTGGATGAGATGTGACATCCGGTTATTGTGACGTGAAGGGGTGGTTGGGGTCAGACCTTAGGTAGGTGTGACGTAAATGGGTGGTTGGGGTGAGATCTAGACTGATCGTGATGTGACGTCGAAGAGTTGAAAGGGTATCCTCCCAAGCAACACCCGCACACCTGTCTCACGTTGTTAAAGTGTCAAGGTCACGGGTCAGTACACACATGATGCCCCACCCCTAACCCACAGGAAACTGACAGGGCGTCGGCTTATGGCACACTAGAGGAGCCCTGGCAAGGAAAAAAAGTAATCAAATGAGGATTATTATCCCCGCACTTTAAAAGCAACATTACTTTTCTTGACCTATTAATATGACTATGAAATCTCTCCCATATACTTCTTTGTGTATAGGTGAACCGTAGGTTAATACAATTATGCTGAGTCATGGTTACAACGATCAGCTGGTCATGTGTCGTCACGTGAAAGCCACCTGACGTGGTCATTATGGACTCTCGTCTTCAAATGTCATGTGTGTGTTGCGATTAAGGAGTAATTATTCATACGTGTGTGTCGACAACTAAACCAGTTTAGATTCTATGTATGATTCAGTCTATATACCATAACGTGTCCTGGAGACGGGTGTACGGGTGTCATGGCATCCGGGCGTCAGGGCGTCGTGGTATCCGGGCGTCAGGTTGTCGGGGTGTCCGGTCGTCAGGGTGTCGTGGTATCCGGGCGTCAGGGTGTCGTGGTATCCGGGCGTCAGGGTGTCGTGGTATCCGGGCGTCAGGGTGTCGTGGTATCATGGTGTCAGGGTGTCGTGGTGTCAGGGTGTCATGGCATTCGGGCGTCAGGGTGTCGTGGTATCCGGGCGTCAGGGTGTCGTGGTAACCGGGCGTCAGGGTGTCGGGGTATCCGGGCGTCAGGGTGTCGTGGTATCCGGGCGTCAGGGTGTCGTGGTATCCGGGCGTCAGGGTGTCGTGGTAACCGGTCGTCAGGGTGTCGTGGTATCCGGGCGTCAGGGTGTCGTGGTATCCGGGCGTCAGGGTGTCGTGGTATCCGGGCGTCAGGGTGTCGTGGTATCCGGGCGTCAGGGTGTCGTGGTGTCCGGGCGTCAGGGTTTCGTGGTATCATGGTGTCAGGGTGTCGTGGTGTCAGGGTGTCATGGCATTCGGGCGTCAGGGTGTCGTGGTATCCGGGCGTCAGGGTGTCGTGGTAACCGGGCGTCAGGGTGTCGGGGTATCCAGGTGTCGGGGTGTCATGGTGTCAGGGTGTCATGGCATTCGGGCGTCAGGGTGTCGTGGTTTCCGGGTGTCGGGATGTCAGGGTGTCCGGGCGTCAGGGTGTCGTGGTATCCGGGCGTCAGGGTGTCGTGGTATCCGGGTGTCGGGGTGTCATGGTGTCAGGGTGTCATGGTATCCGGGCGTCAGGGTGTCGTGGTATCCGGGCGTCAGGGTGTCGTGGTATCCAGGTGTCGTGGTGTTCGGGCGTCAGGGTGTCATGGTATCCGGGCGTTAGGGTGTCGTGGTGTCAGGGCGTCAGGATGTCGTGATATCCAGGTGTAGGGGTGTCCGGGCGTCAGGGTGTCGTGGTATCCGGGTGTCGGGGTGTCATGGTGTCAGGGTGTCATGGCATCCGGGCGTCAGGGTGTTGTGGTGTCCGGGCGTCAGGATGTCGTGGTATCCGGGTGTCGGGGTGTCATGGTGTCAGGGTGTCATGGCATCCGGGCGTCAGGGTGTCGTGGTATCCGGGCGTCAGGGTGTCGTGGTGTCCGGGCGTCCGGGCGTCATGGTGTCCTGGCGTCAGGGTGTCGGGGTATCCAGGTGTCGGGGTGTCATGGTGTCAGGTTGTCGTGATGTCGTGGTGTCGTGGTATCCGGGTGTCAGGGCGTCGTGGTGTCATGGTGTCAGTGCGTCGTGGTGTCAGGGCGTCAGGGCGTCATGGTGTCGTGGTATCCGGGTGTCAGGGCGTCGTGGTGTCAGAGCGTCAGAGTGTCGTGGTATCCGGGCGTCGTGGTGTCAGGTGTCCGCTTGTCGTGGTATCCAGGTGTCAGGGTGTCGTGGTGTCAGGGTGTCAGGGTGTCCGGTACCGCTACGCATCTGATCATGAGTCGAGAAAGTAGACATTAGGCGCTTAGAACAGAAAAGTCGGAAAGTTTACATTTGTTCTATCTATTTTGATTAAATGGTTGTACAACTTATACTATACGGACCTACTTACGTGGTTGTTTCCTTTACCTACGATTGTGTGGCCCTGGCAGAATGGTTAGTGTGTGTTTTATTTAATTGTGTGTGTTCTGAAACAAATTTCATCATGTTTGATAAGCTGCTCTTCTGATAACGACGTATACAATGGTTTTCGGCCGCCATTCCGATATGTGCCGATTCGTTGGTGTTTGAGTTAGTTTGGTTTTACGCCGCTTTTAGCAATATTACAGCAATATCACGGCGGGAGAAACCAGAAAAAGGCTTCACACATTGTACCCATGTGGAGAATTGAACCCGGGTCTTCGGCGTGACGGGGCGGTCGGGTAGCCTTGTGGTTAAAGCGTTCGCTCGTCACGCCGAAGACCCGGGTTCGATTCCCGACATGGGTACAATGTGTGAAGCCCATTTCTTGTGTCCCCCGCCGTGATATTGCTGGAATATTGCTTAAAGCGGCGTAAAACCATACTCACTCACTCACTCTTCGGCGTGACGAGCGAACGCTTTAACCACTAGGCTACCCCACCACCCCACGATGCGTAGGCTGTTGCTCAATGTTTTCATACTAAATATTTTTGTGTGAATAGGTATGTGACTTTTGATGTATTGGATGGACTTAGCTACCTGATTTGCACCAGGTGAAAAAGATCAAGCATTCTTCACTGTCATGGTTGTAAATATACTTTAATCACGCACTGAAAGCATACTACAGAAAATCAGGAAAGAATAGCTGATCATTATTTAATAGCATTTTCAAGTCCGATTTTCTTTCACAAAGATATCCCGATTAATCACATAGTGTGACTCATATTGAATAGTCCATTGTTTCAATCATTTATTTACTCATTAAATACTGGATTATTTGAGTAGTATTGATTTATTTTGTCTTTGGTATTTACAGCCACGTGTTGAGTTATAGATTGGAGAGAGTTACCCTATAACAACAGGGGCGTCGAGGTACTCTAGCGGTCAAAGCGTCCGTTCGTCACGCCAAAGACCCAGGTTCGATTCCCCATATGGTTACATTGTGTGATGCCCATTTCTGGTGTCCCCAGACATGATATTATTGAAATATTACTAAACGCGGCATAAAACAATACTCACTCACTTATTTCAAATGACAAGCCTTTGGTGTTGACGCTTCCTGTGGTATGATGCATATTGTCTATTTGCCTCCCACGTCATCACAGAGCAAAGATACCAACTGACCAGCATTATAATCATGCATCATTATATTATGACCACGTTAAGGTTCTAAAAACGTTTAATTAAACACCATTCTAAACAGGATTCGGCCTCTACATCATCGCAGAGCAACTATGTCAATATTCTAATCATGAATCTAAACATGATGACCATGTTTAGGTTCTACAAGCGTCTATTAAACTCAACTCTAAACATGTTTAGGCCTCAACAGTTATGGGACAAGGAAAGTGAGTAGGTTTGTGTTTAGAATCTCGACACATTTTGAGACAGTGTATTACCAAACATGTCGATTTCCGATCACGTCACCTTTACAGCATTCCCTGTTGTGATATAGGTTATAGTGAAACCATCACCATCTTTTGATGTATGGCATTGCGTGTCTAGCTATAGTGAAAACATGGTACAATGTTACTGGGAACAAAATATTATCGTTACCTACCCAAGTAGAGCAACGGTCGGGACAGACTGACATTGTGTGTGTTACACTCATTGTGTAATTCTAATTATCTCTGTGATACTCCAAAGGTTTGTAGGGGCGGTCGGGTAGCCTAGTGGTTAAAGCGTTCGTTCGTCACGCCGAAGACCCGGGTTCGATTCCCGACATGGGTACTATGTGTGAAACCCATTTATGGTGTCCCCCGCCCTGATATTGCTGGAATATTGCTAAAAGCGGCGTAAAACCATACTCACTCACTCCAAAAGTTTGTTATTTTTTATCGTCATGTGATATGTATAGTGTAACGACCAACATTGCTGTGCTTTTTTAAAACTGGACGTCAGTCATATGTAATAGTTTTTAATATTATAACCATTAACAATTTGTGTTTATTGCTTATAAAATAAATAAGTATTATGTGTGTACAGTATGTTAGCATGTAAACTTTACTCATTGCAGACAGACAGACAGACAGACAAATTTATTCGGTACTTCAGGCCACCGGCCCATAATACAATGGAAATATACTGTATATATATACTTGCATGCTGAGTAGATTTAATAATGATTCACCGTTCAACACTGTGTTTCCGTTCGATGTTCATGACTTGGGAGAGAAATTTACCTAAGCCTTTTATAATTTGTTCGTTTTCAGCTGACGTAAGTCTTATAAAATTCTCAATAGAGGGAGGGGTAACGAGACGCCTGGGAAAAGAGTTTCTTCTTGCTCTAGAATACTGGTCACAAATCATAAGAACATGGAATTCATCTTCAACATGGTTATGTCCCTTTGAAAAACAAAGTGCAGACACGTTCGTTATATGGGATGTTGTTGTGACGCCCCAGTTCAACAGCAAGTCTGAAATTATTACACCGGAACATGGCTATAATATAAGTCTACGTTGGTAAGACCATGGGCGGATACAGCTTTTTTTAAAAGGTGGGGTGCACAATTAAGATCTATTTATTGTCTTTGGTGGTAATTTATACAGAAATAAAGATTTAAATAGGGGTGTGTGTGTGTGTGTGTGTGTGTGTGTGTGTGTGGGGGGGGGGGGGGGTTGCGGACCCCCGGACCCCGCCCCCCCCCCCCCCCCCCCCCCCCCCCCCCCGTATCCGCCCATGAAGACATATCACAAGTAATATATGATTCCACATTTAGTAATGATATGATAAGCATTAACAATTTGTGTTTATTGCTTATAAAATAAATAAGTATAATGTGTGTACATAGTATGTAAGCATGTAAACTTTACTCATTGCAGTCTCCGGTAACTCCGTGTGGAGTGGCCCCTCTGTTTTACATAGTCTGTCTTCCATTTTCTTACCATAATTGCAGTATTCCAGCTTTATGACCGCGGTCTCTAAATAACTGAGTCTGGACCACACATTCCAGTAATTGAAATCATGAGCATCGATCTGCGCAATTGAGTTTACAAAGACATGCATCAACCAAGTCAGCGAGCCTGACCACCTAATCCCGTTAGTCGCCTCTTACGACAAGCATAGTCGCCTTTTATGGCAAGCATGGGTTTCTGAAGACCTATTCTACCCCGGATCTTAACTGGTCTAATTGGAATGGAATAAACAGTCGGTCTTATTGTGTTTTTGCACAATCGGCGCCTCCGTGGTCCGTGGATAAAGTGTCTGTCCGGAGAGCGGAAGGTCGATGGCCCGATCCCCAGCCGCGTCATACCAATACATTTAAAAGATGGTACTTGTTGTTACCCTGCCTGGCGCTCGGCATTAGGAATAAAACAAGGACTGGTCGGCTCGGAGTCAGTATACTGTGTCTAAGTCGGGCATCCATGTTAAACTGCGGCATGGTATCTCAGTGGGCTAGCACAAAAATACCGGTATTGGTCCGAACAAGTATAAGCACAAAACAAGCACACACACGTAAGTACAGTAATCTGGAACTCGACGTTAAACCCCATTCCACCTCACTTCTAGCATAATCAGTTCCATTATGTACACTGTACACTGTAATGCATGATACCATGTTGCAATGAAACATTTACACCATGATCAGCAATCCCCCCTTTATTTCGTGATATTAGGTATTTATTCTTCCAAGAGGCATGGGTGGTTACGGTTCGTAAAACAGAGTTGCGTCCCTTGGCCGTGCCAGGATCCAGTGTTCGTGGTTTTAATCCCTGACTCCGCATGGTGTTATTCATCAAAAGAGGTAACCTTTAATTACGACGTCCTTCACCCTTAAGATGACAAGCCGAAATATAACTCAAATATTGTTTTAACGGCGTTAAACCCAACTCGCGTCCTCTGTTCTATATTCTATATGCCGCCCAAACAACAAACATGATGCATAGAGAGCGCTGTGTCAACATACATCTATTATTCAATTAGTTTAAT